GCCGTGAGTAGGATATTCTTATGAGTCACATCAGACAATGCTTCGTCAAACACCAGCTGAGCGGTAACATGCAACAGAATGTATATTCCAGTCTCCAGTTCCCAGAACCGACCTAATACACCTCTAACGCGTAGAAGGATTTTCAGCCCATCCTATGATGGCCCCCCTGGGGTCTTTCCAGATTCGCAATGCCCTAAAATGTGTATACGTATATCTGCCTTATTCACTACCATCGATTGTTGTAGAATTCCTATTTGCCTATTCCTTCTCCTTTTGCGCCGTTCACCAATGCACCCCAAATTTAGAATAATTATTACAAACCCTTTGTCGACAGCAACAAAAACACATCAGCACACACCCAAGTAATTTTACACGGTACACCCTTCCAATGCCCATCCATAAGCCCGCGAACCAACTAACGCCCAAAATTTGTGAGGAATCTCACCTTATAGCCGGCTTGAGCGGTAGTCACCTCGCGGCTCACGAATGGAACACAAGAACGATTGCCAGAAACAATCTCAGCGGAGCCTCCATTGTCGTATCGACGTCAATGCTGGTAATTATTGCTGTCAAACAAAGAGGTCCGCTTAGGCTTGTACTTTTGATTTTACGTTTTTTTGTTTATATCCACAAGATGTCAGCATACGTTTACAGACCCTGCCGGGCTGGAGAACAGTTGTCCAAAGATAATGTCTGTTCTAACCCCTCTGCCTCCAGCTATACTTATAAAGAATGCAAAATATGGGTTGCTCCCCTCTGCTGTCCAATCACCTGCCTTCCCCTGGGGCGTCACCCTACAAATGGTTATTTTTGAACTAAAATAAACATCCCCCCCAGGTTCACTAGAATACTTCATAATCTGACTACACACACTTTCCCTCACCATGGTTAGAGGAAGATTCTTCAAAGGGAGGAACGGGTTTATAGCCAACCAGTAAGCTGTATCCAGTGACTTCTTGTTAGCATGCTAGCCACCACGCTAGCATGCTTCAAAATGTTGTGGTTTTACTTCAAAAAAATGTTTACTATGCTACACCAAGCTATCCTTTTCTATCTGTCTTTTTCAGGAAACGGTATCCGGGCCATCACACTGCGTGCCACCGTCCAGAGATAACCCACTAATTTCTAGCATACCGGACTAGCCTAACACGCTAGTTTTTCTGACGACTAAAAACATAGCATCCCAGCTATGGCGACAAAAGTAACTCCCCATTCCAACAAGGGAAAGCTCCCAACACGAATATGCTCCTGTGGAAACAAGATATTGGCCAAGGACACCATGCTTGGTGTGCTCCGCTTGCATTGGGCTGCAACATGCCCAGGAAGAGTTAGCCTCCCCCGGGCTCCTGTCCACACTGTGTCGATATAGGACTCGTTTTACTGTGGATATAGATACTTTTGTACCTGTTTCCTCCAGCATCTTCAACAAGGTCCTTTGCTGTTTGTTCTGGGATTGATTTGGCACTTTTCGCCACCAAAGTACGTTAATCTCTAGGAGACAGAACGCGTCTCCTTCCTGAGCGATATGACGGCTGCGTGGTCCCATTGTCAGGGGTGCTGAAGGTGGGTGTGGTGCAGGAATCAAGCGCAGGATGCAGAAGCTAAGTCCAAAAGACTTTAGTAAATTATTCACGTAGTAAACGAGCACAATAAGCCCGGAGGCGAAATAAATGCGCACACAGGCGTCAAACAAAAGGCGCACTAACATGTGCGAAAACCTCTCCAAACAACGGAGGGAAGTACGTAGCTCAGAACACCAAAACAGAAAGAGCAATCACACACAACATCATACACACACAACGAGAACTAAATAGGACACTAATGAGGACTAACTAGACACAGGTGTACAACATCAAGACAAAACCAAACGAACATGAAACATAGATCGGTGGCAGCTAGACTCCGGGGACGACGACCGCCGAAACCTGCCCGAACAAGGAGAGGAGCAGCCTCGCCGAAACCGTGACAGTACCCCCCCCCCTTTACGCGCGGCTCCAGCCGTGCGCCGACCCCGGCCTCGGGGACGACCAGGAGGGCGCGGAGCAGGGCGCACGGGATGGTCCTGGTGGAACTCCGGGTACCATCCTGAGAAGAGAAGAGACACATGGAACGAGGGGTTAATATTCTTATATTCAACAGGCAGATGTAACCTATAACACACCTCGTTCAATCTTCTCAGGACTTTAAAAGGCCCCACAAACCGCCGACCCAGCCTTCCGGCAGGGGCAGGCGGAGGGGTAGGTTTTCTGGTAGAGAGGCCAGACTCGATCTCCGGGTGCGTACACCGGCCCCTCACTGCGGTGGGATATCGTGCGCTCGCCTTGTGACGACGGATGGCCCGCTGCAGGTGGATGTGTGCAGCGTTCCACGTCTCCTCGAGCGCCTCATCCAATCATCCACCGCAGGGGCCTCGATCTGGCTCTGCTGCCAATGTGCCAGAACCGGCTGGTAACCTAACACACATTGGAAGGGGGTTAGGTTGGTAGAGGAGTGGCGGAGAGAGTTCTGGGCCATCTCGGCCCAGGGAATGTACCGAGCCCACTCCTCAGGCCGGTCCTGGCAATACGACCTCAGAAACCTACCCACATCCTGGTTGACTCGTTCTACCTGCCCGTTACTCTCCGGGTGGTACCCTGAGGTAAGGCTCACCGAGACCCCCAAACGCTCCATGAACGCTCTCCAAACTGGGGCCCTCGATCAGACACTATATCCTCGGGTACCCCGTAATGCCAGAAGACGTGGGTAAATAGTGCCTCTGCGGTTTGTAGGGAAGTAGGAAGACCCGACATAGGGAGAAGACGACAGGCCTTAGAGAACCGGTCCACAACGACCAGGATGGTGGTATTCCCCTGAGAGAGGGGAAGGTCTGTCACAAAATCCACCGAGAGGTGGGACCATGGTCGTTGTGGAACGGGCAGGGGTTGTAACTTACCCCTGGGCAGGTGTCTGGGAGCCTTACACTGGGCGCACACCGAGCAGGAGGAGACATAAACCCTCACATCCCTGGCTAACGTGGGCCACCAGTATTTAGTGCTAAGACAATGCACTGTCCGGCCAATACCCGGATGTCCAGAGGAGGGTGACGTGTGAACCCAGTAAATGAGTTGATCCCGAATCTCGAGCGGAACGTACTTCCGACCCTCAGGACACTGTGGAGGGCTGGGGTCGGTACGCAACGCTCGCTCGATTTCGGCATCGACCTCCCACACCACCGGTGCCACAAGACAAGACTCCGGTAGTATGGGAGTAGGCTCAACGGACCTCTCCTCCATGTCATACCGCCGGGACAGCGCATCTGCCTTACCATTCTGGGACCCAGGGATGTACGTGATTTTAAATACGAACCTGGCGAGAAACATGCTCCATCGAGCCTGGCGAGGGTTCAGTCTCCTCGCTGCCCGGATGTACTCCAGGTTCCGATGGTCAGTCAAAATGAGGAAAGGGTGTTGAGCCCCCCTCAAGCCAATGCTTCCACACCTTAAGGGCCTGAACTACAGCTAACAGCTCCCTGTCCCCGACGTCATAATTTCGCTCCGCCGGGCTGAGCTTTTTAGAGTAAAAAGCACAGGGGCGGAGTTTAGGTGGCGTGCCGGACCGTTGAGAGAGTACGGCCCCTATACCGGCCTCAGACGCGTCCACCTCGACCTGAAAGGGTAATTCGGGGTCCGGATGCGCCAGCACCGGAGCCGACGTAAACAGGTCCTTCAGTCTCCTAAAGGCCCTGTCCGCATCAGCTGACCACTGCAGGCGCACCGGACCCCCTTTCAGAAGGGACGTGATGGGAGCTGCCACCTGTCCAAAACCCCCGGATAAACCTCCGGTAGTAATTCGCAAAGCCCAAGAACTGCTGCACCTCTTTGACAGTGGTTGGGGTTTGCCAATTACGCACAGCTGACACACGATCCACCTCCATTCTCACCCCTGACGCGGACACCCGATAGCCCAAAAAGGAGACCGACTCCTGGAAAAACAGACATTTCTCTGCCTTGACATATAGGTCGTGCTCCAAAAGCTTCCTCAAACACGACGCACCAGGGCTATATGCTCGGCTCGGGTAGACGAGTACACTAGAATGTCATCAATGTACACGACCACCCCTTGCCCCATATGGCATGACGAGATACTCGAAATGACCTGACATGGTACTTAACGCTGTTTTCCATTCGTCGCCCTCCCTAATGCGCACCAAGTTATACGCGCTCCTGAGATCCAGTTTTGTGAAAAACCGCGCTCCATGCAATGACTCCGTCATGGTCGCAATCAGAGGGAGTGGATAACTGTATTTCACAGTAATCTGATTGAGACCACGGTAATCGATGCACGGGCGCAACCCTCCATCTTTTTTCTTCACAAAAAAGAAGCTTGAGGAGGCGGGAGAAGTGGAGGGCCGTATGTATCCCTGTCTCAAAGATTCGGCTATGTACGTTTCCATAGCTTTTCTCTCCTCTTGAGACAAAGGATACACGTGGCTCCGTGGGAGCGCTGCTCCTGCCTGGAGATCAGTCGCACAATCCCCCTGTCTATGAGGAGGCAACTGCGTCGCCCTAGCTTTACTAAACACGAGAGCTAAATCCCCATATTCAGGCGGAATGTGCAGTGCGGGCACTTGGTTTGGACTTTCCACCGAAGTCGCCCCTACGGAAACACCCAGACATCGCCCCTCACACTGAGCAGACCACCCATTGAGAGCCCTCTGTTGCCACGAAATAGCAGGGTTATGGGTGCTTAACCAGGTAATTCCCAGCACCACCGGGTACGCAGGAGAGTCAATCAGATACAACTGTATAGTCTCCTCATGACCCCCCTGCGCACACATCCTAAGTGGCGCTGTGACTTCCCTAATCAACCCCGACCCCAACGGGCGGCTATCTAAAGCATGAACGGGAAAAGGCTTGTCAACAGGTAGGACAGGGATCCCTAAATCTAAACAAAACTTCCGATCAACAAAATTCCCAGCTGCGCCTGAATCTACTAGCGCCTTATGCTGGGAATGAGGTGCAACCTGTGGAAAACAAACAGGTATACAAAAGTGCGCAACAGAGAGCTCTGGGTAAGTGGGGCGTCTACTCACCTGGTAAGGCTCCCTAGTGCGTGGCCTGTTGTCTCCTCCCTCGGGGAACCCTCCCCAGCACCTGGCCGCAGTGTGCCCTCCACGACCGCACTTGGTGCAGGGGACAGGCCCCCTCGGGCTCCTCCTCCTCCTTTCTCTAGCGCCAGCACCCCCGAGCTCCATAGGGCTCGGCTCGGAGGTGCCGGAGGGTGGAATGGACGGACCCCACTCGGGACGTCCACGGGTGGCCAGCAGGGTGTCCAGACGGATGGACATATCGACCAACTGGTCGAAGGTGAAATTGGTGTCCCTGCAGGCCAACTCACGTTGAACGTCCTCCCGTAGGCTACATCGAAAATGGTCGATGAGGGCCCGTTCATTCCACCCTGCGTCTGCCGCTAGATTCCGGAACTCCAGCGCGAACGCCTGTGCGCTCCTCCTCCCCTGTCTCAGGTGGACTAGACGCTCCCCCGCCGCTTTGCCCTCAGGTGGATGGTCGAACACGGCCTTGAAGCGACGGGAGAACTCGGCGTAGGAGATGGTGGTGGCGTCCATCCTCCTCCACTCGGCGTTGGCCCATTCCAACGCCTTGCCCGTGAGACAGGAGATGAGGGTGGAAACGCTCTCGTGTCCCGAGGGCACCGGGTGTACAGTGGCCAGGTAGAGCTCCACCTGCAGGAGGAACCCCTGACACCCGGCAGCTGTTCCGTCATGCGCCCTCGGGAGCGAGAGCCGAATCCCACTGGGTTCCGGACCTGGGACTGGTGGACCGGCCGATGGGGGTGGCAGGGTAGGTGGAGGTGTGGGTACCCCTCTGGACTCCCATCGGTGCAGGGTGTTGATGACGTCCTGTAGAGCGGTCCCCAGTTGTCGTATCTGGTCATCCTGGCCGCGGACATGCTCCTCCAGTGACTCAGGCGTGACTGTTGCTCCTGCTGATTCCATTATTAATGGTGTGTGATTCTGTCAGGGGTGCTGAAGGTGGGTGTGGTGCAGGAATCAAGCGCAGGACGCAGAAGCTAAGTCCAAAAGACTTTAGTGAATTATTCACGTAGTAAACGAGCACAATAAGCCCGGAGGCGAAATAAAGGCGCACACAGGCGTCAAACAAAAGGCGCACTAACATGTGCGAAAACCTCTCCAAACAATGGAGGGAAGTACGTAGCTCAGAACACCAAAACAGAAGAGCAATCACACACAACATCATACACACACAACGAGAACTAAATAGGACACTAATGAGGACTAACTAGACACAGGTGTACAACATCAAGACAAAACCAAACGAACATGAAACATAGATCGGTGGCAGCTAGTACTCCGGGGACGACGACCGCCGAAACCTGCCCGAACAAGGAGGAGGAGCAGCCTCGGCCGAAACCGTGACACCCATGGTGTTTATACTTGCGTACTATTGTTTGTACAGATGAACGTGGTACCTTCAGGCGTTTGGAAATTGCTCCCAAGGATGAACCAGACTTGTGGAGGTCTACAATTTTCTTCTGAGGTCTTGGCTGATTTCTTTTGATTTTCCCATGATGTCAAGAAAAGAGGCACTGAGTTTGAAGGTAGGCCTTGAAATACATCCACAGGTACACCTCCAATTGACTCAAATTATGTCAATTAGCCTATCAGAAGCTTCTAAAGCAATGACATCATTTTCTGGAATTTACCGAGCTGTTTAAAGGCACAGTCAACTTAGTGTATGTAAACTTCTGACCCACTGGAATTGTGATACAGTGAATTATAAGTGAAATAATCTGTCTATAAACAATTGTTGGAAAAATTACTTGTATCATGTGCAAAGTAGATGTCCTTACCGACTTGCCAAAACTATAGTTTGTTAACAAGAAATTTGTGGAGTGGTTGAAAAACAAGTTTTAATGACTCCAACCTAAGTGTATGTAAACTTCCGACTTCAACTGTATGTGTACCTCTCGGGCTGCTGCGCTGTGATTGTTGCTGCAGTGTGGAGGTGAAAACCTAAGGATTTATAATGTTATAAAGGGATTCTGTATGGAGATATGAAAGGAGAAAGTACTATTTCCGATTATGCTGTTAAATAGAACACTAGTGAACATTTAAACCCATGTATGAATAGAACACTGATGTAGAGGATGAATTTGTGATGTTGCACAAATGTATAATGGCTTACTAGAGATCTGATGAAGTAACAATATAAATAATAATAATAATAATAATAATAATAATAATAATAATAATAATAATAATAATAATAATAATATACAACTTGAACACCCAGACGTAGATGTACGTAAGTGGTGTAAAAAGTATTCTATTCAGAGTGGTCCCTTTATGGATCATTTGATAAAGATGAGGTTAAAGCATTGTACCGGACTTGATTTACCCCTAACCAATGAAACTATACAAGCTTCTGAGATTTCCTCCACCCTGGTAATACATTTTGAAATAAGCCCATACCCTGTTAAATAAAACTAACGATTTTCTGTATTCACCTACTCAACCGTTTAATGTGCTAAGTAGAGACTTATTATGGACAGAGCATGCCATCTACAGGGGACTGATAGACAGTGCAACCCAGTTAATCCATATTTATCCCTCCAACGCAATACATATGAATCTTAAAATAATAAATATTGAAGCAGAAAGTGAATCTCCAACAGAAATTTGAAATTAATATTGAGTAACTTTTGAAGGCATACTAAGATGAAAATAATGCCTTCCAATATGGAGAAAGTTATTATGTTTGTTTTGTTTTGTTTTAAACCTTGAAAAGGGGGAAAAGCAGAATATTGTTTGAGAGTGATCCATGTGTTTAAGCAGTAGTGATTGAGGTATTCCTATTGTGAAGGGAGTCCAAGTTGAGGGAAACAGAAATGGAGACTAGTGAAAGTAACAAAGTGAATGGTAATTGGCTTTCAGATAGCAATCCAATAACGCAATATCTTAGTAATTTGAAGAAGTAAGACAGACGGATTGAGCATTGCGATTTAAATTAGAGGCCACTCACTCATCAAGGCCTGGTCCACTGCTCTTGTGTTTAAGTCATCGGTTGTTTGTGATTTAAGATAAGCTTCCTGTGGAACAATAGATAGCCGCCAGTACACACTGAACTCAAACAGGCTGTAAGAGAGACAGAGGGGAAATTTGGGACAGAGGTATGAATAATTGAATAAGACAAGTTTTTGACAATTTCCAATTATTATTAATACATTCTATAGTTTGGGTAGCACCAGTGATTTAAGTAAGAAGGTAATGTAATCTAAAACAATAATATTTTCCCATTACATGGAATTGTCTCCAGAATGAAGTAGATCCAAGTAAATGTTTTAAGTACCGAATATTGAACTGATAAGCCAGCACCAACCTTTTGAAGGTCCTAGCAGATTTGTTAAACAACAGGTTTTATATTTTGACTAGTTTATGACCCAGGGACAGTTTGTACAGAACATGCTACAGGTCAAAATGACAATGATTACAAGAGAGGGGCTCTGGGATTGTTTACTTTGGAAGGTGCCTATTCAGCTTGACGAGACACTGTATCATCTGATGTGTCTGAAGTATAATTCTGTATACGACTGATGGAATGTCCACTACCAAGTAATTTTTTTTCATGTTTATCAATGATTCTGTATCTCTCCCTTTGAAAGGCTTCCTAAGGCAAGTGCCTTGGAAGAGCCACTGAGGTCCTCGAGGTGCAGAAGAGATGCATCTATGACATCACCAACGTGCTGGAGGGCGTGCAGCTCATCCGCAAGAAGGCCAAGAACAACATCCAATGGATGGTGGGTGGCGTGTTCGAGGGCTCGGCCAGCGGCGGGGAGAAGTCATGCGCCCTGAGGAAGGAGCTGGGAGAGCTGGAGAGGGCCGAGAAGGCCCTGGAAGACCTGATCACGTCCAGCAGCACCCAGCTCAATGAGCTGACCGAACACAGGGAGAACCAGCAGCTAGGCTACGTCACCTACCAGGACATCAGGTCTATAGCCAGCCTGCAGGACCAGACGGTCATCGCCGTCAAGGTACTCAGGGGGCCCCCAACAGATCTACCTGAAGAGTAAGAACGGGCCCATTGAGGTGTACCTCTGTCCTGAGGAGGGTCTGGAGGATGCCAGCCCCGTCAAGAGCACCACCACCCCCAGGAAATACTACCCTCATCACCCCCTGGGTCACACTGCCACCCCCTCCCCCGTCATGGCACCACCACAGTACACCACTATCAAACAGGGGCCCCAATACACCAACGTCAAGCAGGAGCCCATGGAAGCTGAACTCTCCAGACCTGCACCAGTATCCCTCCCCAACACCTCCACCACCAACACCACCACCCTCCTGGATGTTGAGGGCCTCCTGGCCCTGCCCCCCAGCCTGCTCCAGATGACAGAGGACCAGCTCCCAGGCCCTGGGTTCACCCCCGACTCCAACGCCCCCTTCATCAGCTTCTCGCCTCACCTCGACAACGACGACTACCTCTGGGGGCTGGAGGACGGCTAGTGCGTGTCTGACATCTTCGACACCTATGACCTGGGAGACCTGCTCCAGAGCTGAGAGATGGAGAGAGGGAGGGAGGGAGAGGGCAGATGGGATGGGGTGGCTGTGGTTATAGCCTAGTTACGACCACGTTACCTGACCTTAAGCAACTCTGAGCCCTAGTTATTATATACGCTATAACTGGTCAGGGAAAACTCCTGTCCCTATTCATGAAGGAGTAGTGTCCTCTATAGAGGTATGTGGTGGGGGGAAATGTTACACTATGAAGCCATCAACCTTTTCTTTAGCCATGTCTGTTCCATGTTAATGATTTGTCTAAAATGGGCCCCTTTATTTGTATATATATTTGTATACTTTTTGAGTTTGGATTTAGGGTAGGGCCTGGATGGACACTGGTGTGTGTGTTTGTGTGCGCTGTGTGTGTCCAGCTTATGAAGCTCTCAGCATTGTGGTTTGTGTATTTGTTTGTGTCCGTCTCATTTCTATTCTGTGTGCTGCAGTGGCGGCTCCTGAAAAAATTCTCAGGGGGGGCAATTTTTCTGATGATTTAGGTGACCTACACACATTTAAAAAAAGATATGTCCAGCAACAACATGAAGACAGGGGCAGCATATAAGTCAATACCAGAAGCATTTATTGACTGATCTCAAAAGTGTTGGCTTACCAGGGTTGGTGGAGCCCTCAGTTTCATCTTTGCCTCGCAAAGCTAACTCAAACACTCCGCAAAACTTCACACACTGGATTAGCCGGCTGAGGATGTGGCGGTTCTTGCTAATGTCGTAGTAAATATATTTGTTATAGTGAATATGGAATATGATATGTTGAGTAAAATGTTGTGCTAAGATCTATTTAGGTCAGGAGCTGGTTATAAGTTCTGTTCCTATCCAATAACAATGGACAAAAGGGTCCTATCTTGTCAGCCTTGTCAGTTTCAGTTCTCCAGTAAACTTGTGATTATCAACACTAACCTCATCGTTGTGGCGGCGGGCAGCTAGCCTGTATCCCTCATCCAGTTGAGTGGGAATGTTCACTCTCCCCAAAGCAGAATATCTCAAACAGCTATCCATGTGGGTCTTTGACAGCTCATGTTTCTTAATCTTTCCTGAAAGATGGTGCATGTCCGTTACACACCAGTCGCTGTCCAAGCGGTGCTGTCTGCCGTGCCGCCTTCAGGGTGAAAGAGTAAGCAGGGGGTAGCAGAAGACTGCATTAGCTACATCGCAGCCTGCTAGCCAGGTTTTTCGTTCGTACCAATTTTTGGAAAATCCTCGGGTGTAGGACGTCCCCCCTTTAGTAGAAACCTGTTGAATTATTAAATTTGGTCTGGGAGGTCCTAATTGTTTCGTTGCCAATTTATCTTCATTTGTTCGCCGACAAAAAGGAACTTCTTTCAAAGACACAATCGAGTTGCACTGAAGCCTAGCCATTTTGATAGTAGTAGTGAATTGATTGATGAGGCTACCCGCACTTTTCTTAGTTACGTTCATGGTTACGTTACGTATGACGAAAGCGCGTAAGTGCAAGCCCTCAGAAACCCATAGAGATTGTATTGAAAGCTCTGATATTTGAAAAAAAATAGATTTTACATGGGAGTCTATGACAGACTTCTGGGCGATTTTCAACCTGACTGAAATCGCCCCAAAAGGGGGGGGGGGGGGGGCATTTGAAGCACGACTTTAGCCTGATTGGACATTTAGTGGCACTGTGGCAGATCAGACGTCTAGATTACAACACTGATAACTACTGTTGCCGTGATATAATTGATTAGAAAAAAATCCCTTCCTTTTCCCGTTTGGCAGTGCGTCGCCCATATCGCCCTATTGAACACACCGCCCCTGGTGTGCTGTGTGAAAATATAGACGCAGCACATTTTTTATGCATATCTGATGACCAGCAAAAAAACAACTGGGGCATTTTGGGTAGGGGGTGCTAAATTAATAAGTCTCAGGATTTCTGTCTTTTCAAAAGTCAATTGTCTTACAGTGCCTATCTTTGGCCATTAGGGGGCAGCATTGTATTATGTCAGCTTTAGAGGATTGACTCACTCGTTGTATGTTTTACAACCGAAGTGAAATGGGGAGGTACTACTGAACATCTCCAATAAGAACACAGATTTTCTTTGTCCGTTGCAAAACTTATTCAAATGTTGTGCCCTACTGAACACGACCCAAATACCAAACATGGAGTCTGTGGCACTAACTTAATGTGAAGTTTCAACAAGGTGTAGGAGTATGGGTAGTGTAGTTGTCGGGTATTCCCAAGATATCTGTTTATATTGGGGACCTGACCTGGTCACTACCTCGAGCCTCAAGCTTTATGGAAGGTCAGGTGGTGAAGTATTCTGTCTCCCATGATAGAATGTGTCCACATCACATCACAGAGCACAGGTGTCAAACTCATTCCATGGAGTATCTGCAGGTTTTCGCTCCTCCCTTGTACTTGATTGAGGAATTAAGGTCACCAATTAGTTACAAACTCCCCTCACCTGGTTGTCTAGGTCTTAATTGGACAAAAAAAATGAAAGAACTAAAACCAGCAGACACTCGGCCCTCCATGGAATGAGTTTGACACCCCTGTCATAGAGGTTAGTTAAAAGCTGTTCTGGACCCATAGCTAAAGACACAGGGGTTGCATCCCAAATTGTGCCCTATATAGCGCACTGCTTTTGACCAGAGGTCATAGGGAATAGTGTGCCATTTGGGACGCAGCCAGGGTCTTTTTAGTGACTGATATTATCTATCTACTGAGTGATCCCTAATCTATGTGACTGAATAGAGTATCATGCCTTGCTCTTGTGAATCGGCAGCTAGGTGTCACATCGTGAAGCTTCTCTATCAAGATGCATTTGATAGTGTTTTATAGTATCTAGACTTTGTAGTATCAAATGACTATATATTTCCAAGGAAATTATCCAATAAGGGTAATAACATGCAACAAAATCTGGGTTTTTAATGGGTGTTTTGATTTAGGCAGTAATTAAGATCAACTGGAGGGCAATTTTAATTTCCCACTTCTTTTGAAACTAGATGAAGTCTTTGATTAAATGGTGGTCTGTGTGTTGTTGAACGCTTGCCATGCACCCATAATAGGGAACAAAGAGCACTTTGTGTATTTTTCAGTTTTTTTTCTTATGAAGGCTTGGCCCCATGTGTGTGGTAGTTTAAACCTGGGAGAAAAGAGCCAAATGATACACCAAGGTCAAAGTTGTCTCCTTCTGTCTTTTAGGCTGGGTTGTGTTCATTAGGCACCAAATCGAAGAAAAGGGACCGAAACACGGAGGGACTACCTGGACCATTGTGGGCACTAATGAACACCAGTCTAGAAGTTTAAAAGATTCGGACACATCTCAGGACGTTTTAAGCGTGAATTCCATGTTAGTGCATTTTCTGCCTCTTCCCACAATGCGGGTTAAGTCAATTTGTAAGTCGCTCTGGATAAGAGCGTCTGCTAAATTACTTAAATGTAAATGTAAATGTAAAGAGCAGTTAAAGGTACCCAGATCCAGCTGTTAAGGGAGCTCCCAAATTAAGTAAGGTCTTTTTGTTTCTTTTTACCCTACGATTTTAACTATATACACGCCAGCACCCACACATAACCCACCTGTTTGTATTTGTTAGTGGTGTTAATACTGATTTATGGTGTGGGGTCTTTTTATTTGGTTTTAGTGGATTTTTCACGGGTTAGAAAGGATGCTGTACACAAATGAACGTTTCTATTGTCAGAGTTTTGGGTGCACACGTAAATTCTCTTGATTAGAAGAAATGTACTGAAAAACCCAATGTAAACCTGATAAACAAAATGTTTGAAATGTTTGTAATATCTTTAAATAATGTCTAAGGTACAGGAAAACAAAAAATGTATAGGGCTGACTGACCCCTGACCTCTGTTCTGACTTCCTGGTGAAGCCTGATCACCCTCACTAGAAATACTGGAGACATTGGGTGAGATTTAAATGGGCTATGTAAACACTAACAATTAGAGAGAAGTTTGTAATTTATCAATAGTCCTATGTGTGATTCGGACCACAAGAAGAACAGAGAGAGAACGCTGCCCCTGAATTAGGGACACCTGTCTCTAGTCTATTTTACCATTACCTTATGGGATACAATTATTTCCTTATGGAGTTATCAAGAGTTGTAATGCTAATTTGATTTGTTATCGTCATTTGTTTATTTTTGATTTAACAGGCAGTGTTGTTGTTGTTTTTTTGCACGCATGAATCACGATGTGAGTCATGTGTCCAAAGGGGGAATTACCAGTCCCCTGGGGCCCTGGCCCTTTGGTAAATAAGCAAATAGATTTTGTTCACGTGTCATGACTTGCCCTCATGGGTTGAGGATCAAACATGCCGGCTAGGCAAAGGTTTGAACACCCCCTTTTATTTTACATTTACATTTTAGTCATTTAGCAGACACTCTTATCCAGAGTGACTTACAGGAGCAATTAGGGTTAAGTGCCTTGCTCAAGGTCACATCGACAGATTTTTCACCTAGTCGGCTCGGGAATTAGAACCAGCGACCTTTCGGTTACTGGCACAACGCTCTTAACCACTAAGCTACCTGCCGCTTTCCTGGGGGCCAGTTTTATGACCGGCCGTAAATACCGTGCAGACTTTCTCTTCCATGCCATGAAGTATTGGGAGAAAGGACACCTTTTTTAACAAAGGAAGTCTTCCCTCCAAGACTCCAACATCCAAAAGTGGATAATGAAACAATATTCCTACTTAAAAGAATGTGAAGACGTGAAGTGTGAGCTAAACGTTACAAAATGGTTTAAAACTACAACTCCATTACCAAAGGAAGACCAAGCATACTACGGTATAAGCCGGACGTTGCAAATGGTTGAATTTCTACAAGACCAAGAAGCGTGAAGCTGAAGCTACACGTTACAAAATGGTTAGACCAGAAAGACCAGAAAAGGTGAGACGTTAGTCCACACGTTTGAAATGGAGAAACTCTGAAACTCTCAACCTCTACACGAGGTGAAGAAGAAGACAATGCACT